AACCTGTGTCTGGAAAAACGCATTAACAATCACCGATTTTTACTAAATACGTCAAGCACAGTGGGAAATTCTGTTTCCATTACAAATACCAAATCCATATTTTGACCATTGTTCTTTATTAACAAAATGCTGCACATTATTCCTTTTATAGGAACAGATATACTCGTATTTGCACGCAAGATTTTTTTTTCCAATTCAGGTTTCTATATGCTGAATGCGTTAGTACCAAAATAAAAGTTAATCACACCTATGATTGTTATTATCAAACACGCAATATCAATTATACTTTTTCCGTAAATACTTTAACAGAAACATACATCATTTTGCACATGCAAATTTAGATCTTGTTAAGATTTAATTGTTTTTAGGTACCATTACCAGTATTTGACTTCCTGAAAGCAAATACATGTAAAGCTTTTTTTTTTTAAACCTATGACTGAATGTTTCACAGACAAGTACGAGGGTTGATCCAAAAATTCGTGGAATTTCTTCATATTTTATATATTTTAAAGTGGAATTGGTTGAAAATCACAAATAAAAATATAGACACTTGATGAATATTTTAAATTAAAATTTTTCAAAAATATCTTTGATAGTAACTCTATGGCAATTACCATAGAAACGGTTGTTTGGAAATGCGGGGGAGACATTAACGCTTTCATTATCATTTAAATTCTAAATACGTGAAATGAGAATTAAACCGCCCCATGTGGTATATAAAACAAAAATTATGTCATTATTACAATTTCTTGATCTTTTATAAGCCTTTGTGTGTGAATTTTACTGATTTTAATGGATATTTTGTTTATTAGTTGATGATTTATTGTTCATCTTTAAGTTCTTATACAACGTCAAATTTCGGTCAAGTCAAACGTTTGTGAAAATTTCAGGATCACTTTATCTTAAACGCGTATAGACAAAGGCTTGGGAAAAATTCATTTAGTTACTGTGGTAAAGAAATTTAAGAAAATAGAACTTCCATGGACGTTAATTAAAGGTTTGGTTGCTTTTCTGAGGCTCTGTTTTAAGTGTGTATCCCCCTAGACAAATTAAAAACGTTAGTGGGCGTTGTCGGCTGCTGTACTGTCCTTGACATTGCTATTGAAATTGGAAATCATATGGAAAGATGGGTAGTATTTTGAAATATGAGTAAAAATTGAAGATAAGTTGATGCGAGAGGATACGCAGGCTTTTCTAGAGAAAAGAAATGGAGAAAAAGGCTGCATTTTGTAGAATTACGTATTCGAATTGGACATTAGGGTGAGATGCTTCTATAACGTGACGTGACATATCTAACTTGACGTTACGTCGAAGTCTCCCCCGGGTTTCACAACAATCCATTTTCAGAAAGCTCGTGTGACCTTATAGGTAATTGGAAACTGGTGAAAATTTCCATTATTGTTGCATTATGACTCTATATTAGGAATATGCCTGTTGTTTGCTTTCATCAAATCACGATAAAAATTTAGAAAGAAAGTCCACGAACTTTTGGATCAACCCTTGTATTTATAATAACTAAATATAATAAGTATATTTCGGACAAAATGTAAGTTTAAAACTCGGAGGGAAATCAATGATTATTTCAGATATGCTTTAAATATATTTAAAAATAACTACATATATATGTTCAAGTGTATACAAGATATCTGTCAAATCTAATCCATGCTTATTTTTTTTTTACTATAGACGTTTACAGTTACAAAAAAAAAAAACAACAACAAATGACAAACAGGAAGGCATTTTTTTTTCTTCGCCTCTCCCCATAATAAGACAGCACTCTAATATTCCAGTATCACCTGTACGTGGTGTAATAGTCTCCTTATTTATTCGATATTGAAGAATATCTCCATTACTAAACAGAGGATGGCTAGTGACAAACAAGTTAAGGTTATATGGTATCGTTTGAACATTTCACAAAATCTATTGCAGTCATAATGACTTTGATTGCAAAAATAACCCATTGTTGGGTAAAATGTATTTCGACTGACATATTTCCTAATAATTCTTTTTTGATTTCATTTTTAGCTGTTGATATATTTGTGACTACGGATGAACGTGTGTACCTGATCAATATATTTTCCCAAAATTCTAAAATAAATACAGGTGACTGATTTTGATGCACAGCTAAAAACAAAAGGGGTGAATTACAGGTGATGTAGTCTAGTTTAGAATGACCAAAGGTAAAGTGATACAAAAGTCTGATTAACTTAAATTACATAATTAACCTATTTATATATTCATTTACCGATATTTTTAACATTTTAATGGTAGGCCTAATCAAATCAAATGTTTTTTTTTTCTTTTCTTTTAATTCCAATTATTTAAAAAATATTTTTAATGATCCAACTTTGAATTTTTTTTTAAACAAATTAAAAAAATAAGCTTCCTATTGCTATTTTGTATGACCAAAATATACAATCCCAAAAGAGGTACTTTTCAATCAAAATTCATAAAGTTATAAAACATAGTGACTTTCTCCATTGAGCATTGATAAACGGTACTCCTGATCATTGACATGATGTCAACATTCAAATATATGAAGCTGTATATACATGTACATTAATACATGTAGCAACGGCGAGTTTAAATTGACCTGATCAACAGGGGATGCTTACTCCTCCCTGGTACCTGATCCAACCATTGGTTTTGGTTTTCAAGGGTTGGAGTTTTTTATTACATCTTTTTCAAAATAAAAAAAAATGTAGTTATACTAATTGCTTAAGAACCCTCTCTGGATTCTGCATGATAAAAATATTCTATATACAACTCAGATCTAGGCGTTCGTTACGCCTGCATGAAGATAACAAGATTCGTGGAAAATGGCGAAGTCGAGGTTTCCAGCTGGGATTCATTAAGGACAAGTGGTCGAATGTCAACCGAAAAATCAATCGACTTGATTGGTTGTCATTATAACTGGAAAAATGTGTATTCAGGTATTGACATATCGCACATCAGCATACTTTGTACTATTAGATAACAAAGAAAGGATTGAACCACAAAGCACTTGTCACGAGAGATTCCTGAACCCTTTCTCTATCGGCATCTCGAACAACAGCTTTAATAGATCGAAATAAAATATATCCATGTAGCTCAGTTGTTAAAGGACAAGATAGGGTAAGACCCGTTTTTGGCCCCTGGTTTCTTTCAGAATGATGCAACAGTTTATCATTAGAAATTTGTTGTCATTCCTACCACAAAATGAGTATTGGTTCTCATGCAGTTTTGAAATACACAGAGGTCACAAAGAGGTGAGAAAATAGGTCAATTTTCAAATTTTCTCATTTTTATGCAAATTTTCATTGATTTTACAGCAACATTTTGTTTCGCAAAACATTAGTACAACTAGTATATCAGATGCAGTTTATGTGTAAAAATCTCAGATAGGCAAGCTTGTGCTCTATGTTGTCCGAAGAGAAAAGTATCTCAAATCTGATGAAATTGTACCACAGTTGAGGAAATTCGGGAAAATGTCCTACTTCTGCACCCTCTAGTGGCTTCCATATAAGCTTTGAATCCAATTAGTGCTGGTTTTAAGCAAGCTTCATTTTAAGTTCTTAATTACAAACTATCACAATTTTACCAGTGTTCTGATTTTTACATCAAATAAGGGGTCGTATATTAATTTCGCAGCTTAAGAACTAGAATTAGTATAAATTACAATGAAAATGTATTCACGACCATAAATATCAAAATAAATTTGGGCAAAGTAGACTAGATTTAATCATATTAATAAAATTTTTTAAAAAGAATAAATTTCATTATACAATTATAGCCTTTTGATGAGGTCAATCCCTCGATATATACATTGTATCAAAATATTGACCGAACACAAGTGCGAGGTCGATATGCTTTCTCAAGGTCTATATATCGAGGGATTGTACATTTTTCTGTAAAATCAAAAGGCTACAATTGTTTTATATTTTTAATCAGTTAACAAGAAATGTCTTAAAATCCTTCTTTATAATACTCAGTATCTTCTCATACAAGGCATTGTTATGTCATTGCATTATGACGTCACAGTAATGAAAACCAGCTGCAGTATCTGTTTTTAGAAACATCCAGTCTATAAAGACTATTGTGACGTCAGTACTATTGTTTCTTCTAAGGTCTATATATCGAGGGATTGTACCGAATCAAAAGGCTAAAATTGTTTTATTATTTTTTATTAGTTAATAAGAAAATCCTTCTTTATAATACTCAGTACCTTCTCAAACAAGGCATTGTTATGTCATTGCATTATGACGTCACAGTAATGAAAGCCAGCTGCAGTATCTGTTTTTAGAAACATCCAGTCTATAAAGACTATTGTGACGTCATCACTATTGATGCTTCACAGAAGAACATTTCCAATTTTAGAAACAGCAGGTTTATAACTTTTTAAAATAGAAACATCCAGTCTGTAACACTTTTTTATACTTGATCATGTGATCCAGTTTGAGCCAATCAGATAGTTGGAACAATAAAGAAAAATAATAACACTCTTTATACTTGATCATGTGATCTAGTTTGAGCCAATCAGATAGTTGGAACAATAAAGAAAAATAATAATCTTTTTTAAAAAAATTATTGTACGTAATATTGTGTGAAATTTGATTCATATGTGATGAGTTTGTGATACAACATGTACAAGGTAATTTCAACTTTAATTGATAAGCTCATTCATTTACATTGTTAAGTGGCTTTCTTTAGTTATGTATCTGATTTACTTTTATGCTACAAGTCTCAATAAAAGTCAAATCGCATTGATCGAGATAGGAGGTCAGTTTCAGGATGGTGTATGATTTTTTTTCTCTCGCTGAATAGGGTCAAAAAGGCTAAGACTTCTCAGGTCAGCGTTGTGACCCTAAGCCTCTTATTTTTGTTTTTCTTTTCCTTTTTTGTTGGGGGTGGTGGGTGGGTATTTAGTTTTTAGTTATTATAATGTTGAAAAGGCTACCCTTTTATTTCTTTTTTTCCAGAAAGGATAGTAAGAAAAAGACATATGTGACAACATATCGGAATGTGTTGTGGTACGACCGAAACTTCACCTGTCGATTTGTCACAGCTGCAACAAACAAAAAAATGTGATCTTTGTACTCAGAACCTCAAATCAGCCTTGGCCACGTGTAAAAAATACCCACTGTAGCCTTTATAATTCGAATTTACACGTTGGCGCTATTTTGTGGACTCCAAACTTAGCATTTCCCTTTGATTCCTGTGGTATTGGAACTGTTCATTACAGAGGAAAGTCGGACTAAAATATTTCTGAGAGAAACGTGAGCAATTAACACAAATTTATTATTTATTATGTGATAAAAATTGGTATTAATACTGTGGCTACCTAAAATACAATTAACTTTGACTACATTTTTTATCATAGGTCGTTAAAGTAGAACTTTTATAGCATATCCTCCCAAACTGAATAACTGAACCGTGAACGTTTTTACTAAGTGATTCCGACACGCCCCCTTTTTAAAAAGAATTGTTTTAAAAAGTTGCAATAAGGCAATCTTAAGTAATGTTTGTTTGCCCTCTCCTGACTCAGGGTGAAATTATTGGGTCAGTAGTTAGGTGTGAAGATCTTTTTTTTCGTGAAATGTTCAACGTACATGTAAATATTTAAGAGACATGTGGAATTTTTGTAATTTTGTTGAGAGAGCAGCCAAACAATTTTTAAAAGATGGCTTAATTTTAAGCTAATATTAATCAAGAATGCTTGCCAGTTCCGATCACTGTTTGTTAGGAATTCAGACTTTGACATCTTTAGTTTTGTTTATAACATTTATTGGTTTTTTACATGTACATGTATGTATTAAGTTATTTTACATGTAGGCACTTCAGTTTTTATATAAATTAATTAGACCTACATGTAATTATATGTAGATCTTGGATCAGACTACTGCACCGATCAGAAAATTCAACTTTAATCATGTTATTAATTTTATTTAAAATATAATCTAATACTGGAAAACTGAGGATAGATATACATAAGCAGGAATTCAGTATGATTAAATTCACAAAATACTTCAAATTGTAACATGATTATAAAGAAGAAAATGTATGGCTGGACCAGAAATCGAACCCGGTATCCCTTCATCACTAGTCAGGTGCTCTACTGACTGAACTACCCAGACTGATATCCACAGCCAATCCCATTACATTTCTCCCTCTTTAATTTTTTTTCACCCTCGAAGATGCAACCCAAGTTCTTATTAGCCCGCTGCCCTTGGCAGGACCTTTATCTACAAGTCAAGGGGTGATCAATGGCACCAATCTGTAATAGGAAAGGAGAAAATGTCTGGCTGGACCTGGTATCAGACCCAGGATCCTTGCTTACTAGTCAGGTGTCTAATGATTGAGCAACCCAAATGGATATCTACAGCCTGAACCATTAAAAAATATTACCTTGTCTGATCGGATAAGTACACAATAAAAAGTATAACTTCTTGAGTAAATAAAAGTAATTACTCCTAGAGATCAAATTACTGGTCATGTCTATCCCCACAAATTTAATACATCAGCTAAATTTTAATGTCATTTAATAGCAGCAAAAATAATAGCAGACATTAAAAAAAAATGTAAAAGATTAAGAATGAATGCAAATCAATACTAGAGCATTCAGTAAGATCAGTTACATGTAGCACATTGGTTTGAGTTTTACAGTATACATGTACTTGTATTGTGCCATTGATTACAAAATGAACAGATGTGAACTTATTGGATTTAAAAGAAAATCAATGCTGGGGCACAATTACAGGTCAATATAGCAGAATTGTAAGATGTAGCAGGTGCAATGGAGAAATTCAGAGACATACTCCTGGATAAATTATTGACAATTATAAAAGTATTGTAGGCCATGTTTGATTTATGGCAAGCAAATAAGCAGGCTGTCAAAAATTTGATATTGCAGAGGAAAATGAATACTTTCGAGAAGAATAAAAACAACTAGATTTCGTTTCTTTAAAACACACAATAAATGTTATCAATATTAAATATTCTTTTCATACACATTACAGGAGCCATGGATATGAGATTTCTGTTAATTAGTGTTCTACTGTATGTGATACAGACAGGGCTCTGTGTTAAAGAGGAATCAGCACATGGAGGTCACAACCCAATCCACAAAGAGCATTACCATGACGGGGAGCATGACTCACACTACGATCACGAAGCCATTCTGGGTAAATAGAGTAGCAGAGACTAGAGTACTTCTAGAGCATCAGAACAATTTCTCCTGTAATAAATCTGACAGAACAACTGATCTAACTTATCCATATACAGTAAAACTTGTCTAATCTGGACCGCACTTGTTCCAAAGAAATTTATCAGGATTAGACATTTAAAACATTTGAAATAATTTAACAACTAGGGATGCAAAGATAAAACTGTATTAGGCAAGATTGAAGATTCCAGAATACACACCTTTCAGGATTTGATAAGTTTTACTGTATTAACAAAGACAGTTACAATATGTATTTTCTCTTACAACTTTAGCCCTTTGTAATTAAGTTTGTTCATATTGTTGCAGGAGACAGGCAGCTGGAGAAGGAATTTGATGAGTTGGAGCCTGAGGAAGCCAAGCGTAGACTGGGGATACTAGCCAAGGATATGGATAAAAACAAAGATGGATATGTATCCAAGGAGGAACTTGTGGATTGGATCATGAACTCCTTCCGGTATTACTGTATAAATTTTAGATTTGAAATTCCTTATGCACTGTGAATGCTGAATGAAAATTTCAGATGTCATGAAAATGTAATATTTTAATCTTCACTTATTTTTTTAAGCATTCAGTAAATAGTGTTGAACAGGCAAAGAAACAAACATATTATCTTTGATCTCTTGATGACTTATTCAAATTAAAGCACACTGTCTTCCTTAGCATTGTACAGAGTTTAATAATGGGACAATAAAAATGAGTCTTAAAAGTATGTTTGTGATTTTGTGCTTTAGGTACATTTACCTAACTTTATTTTTTATTGTTTCAGGAAATTGGACATGGAAGATTCCTTAGAACAATTTGAGGAATGTGACGAAAACAATGACAATAAAGTAACGTGGAAAGAGTACCTAACGCGACACCACGGCTTCAACATCAATGATTACAAAGACGATTACGCCACTGAAAAGGAGGCTGTAGAGGAGTTCACAAAGGTCAGGAAAGATTATGATCAATCCTAGGATTCATTTATATCAACTAATAAGTCAAACTCTGTGTATATTACTCAACTTGTATTTTAGGAAATTCATTCATAAATGCATGTTGATAATAAAATTGTGTCATTATTCAGTGGTAAACTGTGTTATAATGGTTGAAACAAAACTTAAAAATGGTGAAAAAAAATTTTGTTACAAATACCTGTATTGGAAAAATAATAATTTTGTCTTTTTCTGTGTGGATCAGAAATATAAGAAAATTAAGGTAAATTCTTTATGATTTTCTCCTTATAAAAATAGTATAGGTATAGGTTTTATTTAAATATGGTAAAGGTTTTTTGTTATTTTATTTTAGAAGAAATTAATTTCATTGTGTTTTAATTGTTACCTCTTTTTAGGTGGCAGGTTTACAATTCTTTTTTATTTTTAATTAGAAATGATTTGTTAGTCATGATACACATCTCTTTTATTTCACAGATATTAATTTATAATCTCTAAATATCCATGTTTTTTCTATAAATTAATATTTTCAATTACTGACTATTATAAGCATTAAATATTTAGGGAAAAAAAATAAACAGCAGTTAAAGTTTGCAAAATTACAATGATAATCTTACGTGTAAAAATTTCTAGCAAAAGTGATGACGTATGCGCAGATTTCTGGTGCTACACGTAGACGTTGTAATGTAAAAAAAAAAATGTTTTTTTTTATTATTCAAAACAATGATCAGTTGTGCATCAAAGGAATATTGTTTTATGACAAAACAATTTTACCATTCATGAAAAACAAGAGCTGCTTAGCCATGGTAAAATGCCTGCCTCAATGACAAAAGATAAAGTCGAAAGTCTCTTGCCTGCAATTTTTTTCTTAAAAAAGAAGTGGCACATTTTCATAACATCTATACTTTTTGGTACCAGAGCCAAGGCCATTATTGGGGAAAATTCACAGCTTGTTGGGAAATTTATGAAATTTATACTACATGTGCATAAAATACTCAAAATACATATAACTTAGGTTTCAATTACATGCATTATAAATTCTGTTATGTGAAAGTTAAATTCTCTAGAGCCACATTTGGGAAAATGAACTCCTTATTTATGAAAAAGGGAAGCATTTGTGAATGGGAGTGATGAAGGAATGAGACTTTTCTACAACCCTAAAACAATCAAAGAATAAATAATCAAAAAACAATCAAGAGTTCTCAAATGCAATAAAAACAGTTCAAGAAATATAACTCCAGTGTTCCTGTTACAGGTTCTTGATGAAGATAAGAAGAAATTTGATGCGGCCGATGTAGATAAAGATGGAGCCCTGACTAAGAAGGAACATGTGGCCTTCCTTTACCCTGCCGACTTCCCTCACATGCATGATATAGAACTGGAGAGAACTCTCCAGGAACACGACAAAAATGGGGATGGGACCATTACAAAAGAGGAATTCCTGGCTGACAGTGGGTGTCACTTAAACATGCGTTACCAAAAACACTCTGTCAGAAAGATTTTATATTTATCATTTCTATATCTCTTTCAATATCTTTCATTTAAGTACACTATTGAAATTGTTATCAGTACATACAACATTTTTATAAAGTAATTTTAAAGTTATGCTTTACTGTACGTGGTAAAGGTTTATAGTTTTCTTTAAAAAAAAAATAATGAAAAAATAATAATTGATAAATTTTAAGTTTATGCTTCCAATTTACAGCTGATAAAAATGACAAGGAGCTTTTATTACTGGAAGAGGAGAGGTTTGGTGATTTTGACAAAAACAAAGACGGAGTTCTTGATAAAAAAGAGATTACGGATTGGGTGCTTCCTGACAATAACGAGGCCGCAGTCGAAGAGGCGGATCACTTAATCGAGCGGGCAGACAATGATAAAGATGGCAAACTGTCCATCGAGGAAATTGTCAACAACCACGAGGACTTTGTCGGAAGTCAGGCAACCAACTACGGAGAATTTCTTCCCAAGGATGAACTTTAATGATAAAATTTGACTAAGTCTTCTTTTTAATTATTATCTTGACTTTAATTTACATGGTTGTCAGTATTTTTTCTAGGTGAACAGCTTTTGTAATACATAACGAATTTACAATGTTTAGATATGGATACATATATATTTTCTGACTATTCTCTGGAGTTGTAATTTTTTTTCCCACAAGATCATTTTTTTTTCTCCATACAGACATTACTTTCCCTAGTCATATTGTTTTACCAAAAAAATTAATAAAGCAATTAAATAGAATTAAGATTTTTTATTTTCATAAAATCATTCCATGTTGTATGAAGTATATTTTTACAGATGTTGTGTGATTGTGACATTCAGTATATATACATGTATGTTAGTTATTATTTGTAAATTAATGCTTGCAAAGTGGAGATGCACCGTGCTGAAAATTATGTTCTAAAATTGATATGGTCTGGACCATAACTATTTTTATTTGTGTAAATGCACACATATACGATGTTGACCAATTACATAACTATTTGTCTAGACTACTGTTTTGCACTTTAATTTTCTACTGCTTCAAACTTTTTTATTAAAGCAAATTTAATTATAAATAAGATAAATGTAGAATATAATTTTATCTCAAATGTCTACAAATTAAATTATTTTTTGTGACAGAAATACAAAGGATAATAATATGCTTTGCTTTAATGTGTTACAAGAATGTGTTCAGCAATACAATTGTAAGTTATGTTCATGCAAGCTTCCATGTGCAAATGTGAATGTAATTTTGTCTTTTGAATGCGAGAAATGAACAATGTGTATTTAAAAAAAATGTCTACCTGAAGTACTCTATTAATTAAAGTAAATAAAAAATGTATTACTTTAAATATCACAGTTCTAGTTCTTATTCCTTTTCTGATTTACCATCATACATCAGCTCTACACTGTATGATGGCTAAAAAGATTCCAGTTAAAAAAACAAGTACATTACATGAAACATGAGTTCAATGATGGATTTTTTATTTCCTTAAGTATATAAAACTCGGGAAAGCAGACTTTAGTCATTGGTCATTTGGTGACAACTCTCCTTCATAATGAAAACCTTAGTTCACCCAAAGAAATGTTTTGTAACCAAGCCATAAATTTTCTGTTAGAACAAAGGCCCTTAAGCTTGTGTGTGTTTTTTCTCATCTCCTTGATTTAGGCTTTGCAAGACTTCAGTACATCCTTTAAAATAAAAATATAAATAAATTTTTTTAAAAAATATTGTATTACTTAACAAAGTACACAGTTGCAGTAGACTTCCTCAAGTCTCTATGTTTTTATTGTTTATTTTTTATAAATTATTTTAAAAATTCTTTGTTCTTATTTGTATTGCTGTCCTCTGCTCTCTGTCATGTACAAATGTGATATCAAACATTTTTTTATGTTTGACATTGCTAAAAATGAAAGAGAGTACTAAAAAAAAATGTCAAGTCTAACAGTTACAGTAGCAGTTTAAATTCAATAAAAATTAAATGTATTCACTCTACATTTTACATGTTTATAAAATCAAAACAATAAATGACAAGATCATGTTTTATACATCTGTTTTGGAAGATGAATATCAATTGATATATAAGTACATTACATGAAACAAAGTCAAAGTTATGCATTAGGTACATTTCATATTTTGTATACAATGTAACTTATATAAATGTTAAATTTAGAATTAAATATGCATGGCTTTTCATTGGTTTTGTGCATGAAATCTCCTTGTAAAGTTGTACCAGCTTCACATGCACAAGAGAAAGAACTTTTATGTCAAACTAGAGGCCTCAGGATCACTGGGTAAATTTAAATGATAACAGTGCCTCCCATGTGTGTTTTGGCAAAGTCCATGAATTTTGCTTTGCAAGACCCAAAGTACATCCTGTAAAATAAAAATGTTGATAAAATTAAAAATATTGCATTACATAACAAAGTTTACAGTAGCAGTTGATGATCTGTTACAATGTACTGTATTCATTGACAGTTACTTTTTGAATTTTAAATGACATTTTGTCCATGTTTTGCTATGGGAACCCAAAATATGATATCAAAAAGTAAAAAAATAAGAGGATTACAATGGCAATGTGATAAACAATGATTCCAGGAAAGTCCATTAAATTTACATTTATTTTAGTAAGCTTAATAATGGGTACCCAAAGCATAACAGGCAGATGGACACCTATATTATACCCCCCGCCTTTCAAGGAGAGAGTATAATAAATACAGCAGATATATACATATACTGCACTCAGTGCAGTGTATCAGAATTTATAAATTACCAGACTTACATCAGCCACTTTTCTGATATGGTAGCTGTTCACACTATTGTCTTTTTCTTCTTTGGCCTGTAGTTGAGCAGCTGTTGATAATTTCTGCATCATAGATATGTATCCCAGCCAAATCTGTATTAAACACAAAGTTGACAAACTATTGGATAATACAATCATTTTCTAAATATTAATCCCAATAACATGATTAAGAATTGATTATATAAAATTATGGTTTTATTAACTATTAATTAAACACCCTGCATCACTATCAAAAGAATTTTAAATCATAAATGCTTGTTGGCATACTATGATACTATCACAATGTCCATTTGTTTTGCCTTACAGTTACAATATAAGAAAATCCTAATGTTTTTTGTTTTTAAGTCTTACCAAAACATCAACTTTAGCTGGTTTGACATGCACTCTTTTAGTTTTCTTCTTTAAAGATACTTTTAGCTTGTTTTTAGGACACTTTGGTAACATTTTTTTTTATTTTGAATAACCCGCACTTGATTTATATATTTATTAATTAAGTCGTTTTAAAATGATTCGATCAAAACCAAAAGTACTTTTATATATGAGTGCATATATCAGGTTAACAATGATTTTTGACAAAAAGTTATAAAAAATTTCAACAGTTTTGATTTTTTTTCTTGTAGGATAATTAATAAAATGATGGTCTGACTGAAATTTATTTGGAGATAATTTTGTACGAGTTATTTAATACAATCACCACTTCCGGGCAAAAAAAAAAAAGAAATCAACAACGTGGTTTTCTTGATAACTGTCATAATGGCAAAAACAAAAAGAAAGGAAAAGAAGGAGGATACAATAAATAGAAGCTCACATAGCATGAATCCAGGTATAGTCTAGACTTTACGTAACTTTATTTTCCATAAAGATTAGACAGGTGTACTTGAGGTCTTCTTGAGAAAATTGCTACCTTTTATTGTTTAATGGGCTTGTCAGTGTCGAGAATATTTATCTTCTTTTACAGGATAAAAATACACTTTTCGTGACAAGCCCCTGTGTTTGGTTAATAGAGATATATTTACCTATTGGTCTTTTAATAGTACTTAATTTGCAAAGTTGTTTTAGCAAAATTTGTTGATCCTGTTGTACTCAATATTCATTTCTGACATGCTGTCAGAAACTGAATTAGACCTGTTTCATTTTTAGATACATTGAAAAAATAAGTTGTGTGCTTTGTTCTCTATAGTAAACTAGGCCTAATGCTCAAACTGTGTTTTGTAAACAAACTTAGAAAAAATGAAAAGAATACACTTCCATTATTTTTCTTGTCTGAGGGGCTTTGGTAGAGATAATGGGCATGTCTGTGGGGCGGGGATATACAGTGAACAACAGCGACTGGAAAGTGGGGTGTAATCCCTGCTCAGGTGGAGGTTTTGTGAACATTTGTTATTAGCTCACCTGAGCCTTCGAGCCGAAGGCTCAAGTGAGCTTTTCTGATCAAAATTTGTCCGTTGTCTGTCGTTGTCGTTGTTGGCGTTGTTGTCGTTGTTGTCGTTGTCGTCGTCGTAAACTTTTCACATTTTCATCTTCTTCTTAAGAACCAAAAACTGCTTCATGGCCAATTTCAACCAAACTTGGCACAAAGTATCAACATTGGGTGAAGGGGATTCAAGTTATGTTCAAATGAAGGGCCACGCCCTTTTCCAAGGGGAGTATATATAATCATGTCTAAAAAAATTTATTAAAAATTAATGGCATTTTAAAAAAATCTTTTTCTCATTTGAAAAACCGCTGGGCCAGGAAAGATCAAACTCATGTGGAAGCATCCTCAGGTAGTGTATATATCAAGATTGTTCAAAACAATGACCCCCGGGGCAAAAATGGGGCCACACATTTATTGAGACCCTGGTATTTACATCACAGGAATATATAGGGAAAATCTTTAAAAAATCTTCTTCTCCAGAACCACTGAGCCAGGAAAGATGAAACTCATTTGGAATCATCCTCGGATAGTGTAGATTCAAGTTTGTTCAAATCATGACCCCCGGGGCAAGGGTGGGGCCAAAATGGCCGACCCAAGTTTTACATTGGAATATATAGGAAAAATCTTTAAAAATCTTCTCAGGAAAGATGAAACTCATGTGGAATCATCCCCAGGTAGTGTAGATTCAAGTTTGTTCAAATCATCAACCCCTGGGGAATCAAAAGGGTGGACGCCATAATGGCGACCCGAGTTTTACATAGGAATATATAGTTTACAATATCTTTTATTTTTCAAAAATCCTTCTCCAGAACCACTGAGCCAGTAAAGATGAATATTCATGTGGAATATACCACAGGTAGTGTATTGGTTCATAAAGATATGTTCTATATATTGGTCAAAATACCCCCGGGGCAAGGGTGGGGCCAAAATGGCCGACCCAAGTTTTACATAGGGATATATAGAGAAACCTTTTAAAATCTTCTTTTCAAGTACTTCAAAAATATGATTAGTGATATTTATATGGAATCATCCTCACTGGTAATGTAGATTCTAGTTTGTTCCCAAATGATGAACGCCTAGGGGAGCTTGTCTGTGGGGCGGGGATATACAGTAAACAACTGTGACTGGAAAGTGAGGTGTAATCCCGATCAGGTGGAGGTTTTGGGAACATTTGATATTGCTCCATAGTAACTACAAATGTTTTCTTTTTAAAGATCGTGCTAAAGGTGCAGGAGGAAACAACATGCGAGACAAAGCTACAATTAAAAGACTGCAGATGTACAGAAACTTTAAAGCAAAGAGGTAAGGAAATTCAAAGAAAAAGTATTGTTAAATAAAAAACGAGATTATTCAATTTCAAAAACAAAACAAAATAAAGCAATAATTCTGTAATTTTTCTTCTATAGGGACAGAACAGGAAAGATAATAAAAGCTGCACCGTTCCAATCAAGATTATCATCTGGAAGCATGGCTAGGGTAGAACCAAACAGAAAATGGTTTGGTAAGATAATTAATATGAAAATGCTTTGCAAATTAATGAACACTTCTTGAAATATTGAAAGTATAACAATTTATTATGGTTTGTAATCATTTTTCCATTTTAAACAATTTTGACAGGTAATACAAGGGTGATAACTCAGAATGCTCTACAGACTTTCCAAGAAGAGATGGCTAAAGTCAGGAATGACCCCTATAAAGTTGTTATGAGACAGACAAAGCTGCCAATCACACTGCTTAATGAAACAGCAAAGGTATAACATTTGTTATTATCATGGCAGTCTTATAAAAAGCTGTAAAGTTATATGTTTTTATAAAACATGTATCATTTTATTTCATTTAAAAAATGTAAACATTTTTTGTTTATAAAGTGTAGGCCACTGAAAGTCACACTTCTTTCTTGTTATAAATATAGTATGCAAAAGTCCACCTCCTAGACACAGAAGGGTTTGAGACAACATTTGGTAAAAAAGCTCAAAGGAAGAAACCAAAACTCAGAACTGCAGACATGCAGGTTTGTTTTTACCAGTAATACAGTTCATTTTGTAAGCTATCATTTTTGAAAGTCTGGGTGAAAACAATCTGAATATTTTATTGAAAATTATTTTAATAATTTGATTGATTAATTATAAAAAAGGAAAGGGGTAGATAAATGTATCATATAAAGGAGTTAACAGCAAATTAACATTTTATGATATTAGGTAAATTAAATTAACCCTAATCCGTAGTGACTTATATTTAAATACAATATTGAATATTTATATTGTTTTCATATTGACAGGCATTGGTTGAACAAGCCATGACCGCCACAGAAGGCTACTCAGCTGATAAGGACCGTGACCTTGTCACAGAGGCTCCAGAGTTCAAGGACGAGCAACCAGAGGTCATTTTCAAGGCTGGTCAGTCAAAGAGAGTGTGGGGAGAGTTGTATAAGGTACATGTAAATCCTGTAAATTAATTTTACTATATGTAACTACTAAGGTATAGTGAAATCAGAACTCTATCTGCAGTCCTGTTATTCGCATATACTATTAACAAATTTTTGGAATACACATATATGATGGAACTATTACTTACTTTTAGAGTACAATAATTCTTTATTTAATGAATAACTTCTTTTGTCACCACCATGATTTCTTTGTAGGTGATAGACTCCTCTGATGTGGTGGTACAGGTTCTGGATGCTCGGAATCCTCTCGGGACCCGCTGTTACCAGATAGAGAGATACATGAAGAAAGAAAAACCTCACAAGCACCTCATCTTTGTACTCAATAAAGTGGACCTGATACCAGTATGGGTCACAGTAAGTTTTAAAACCTCAGTGTTATAAATTGAATATGTTGAACTCTTTTACCACTTATGACATCACTGTAAAATTATGTCAATCATCTATGACTGTACAATGAATTTAAGGACATGTGACAAACTAGTTTTTACACACAATTTGAATGTGCCTTTCTTAGATTTTGTTATTCAAGGGAAAACAAATGTAAATACATGTATATGAACATAAGTTTTTATTGTTTGCTAGGGTCATAGAAAGTAAAGTCAGATAAACAATTGTCTAGATCAAATAATTTAAAAGAAATTTAATATTCAGATGTTCAAAAGTTTTTGAAAAGAAGGGGAAATACTTTGTCACCTCTGGAATTTATTTTTTTAATAGCAAAAGTGGGTAGCAATTCTCTCTCAGGAGTATCCAACAATGGCCTTCCATGCCAGCATTACAAACCCATTTGGAAAAGGAGCACTTATAAATCTACTTCGTCAATTTAGTCAGGTTAGTTTTTGTCACAGTTTAAAATTATTATTTTGTATTCATCTGTTAATTTTTGGAATTTTGATAAATGCAAGTCAAAATTTATTTGCTCAGTGACAAAATTCTGTACATAATGCATAACTTGTGTGTTTGTCTGTTTGTTTGACAGCTGCACACAGATAAGAAGCAGATCAGTGTTGGATTTATAGGCTATCCTAACGTCGGGAAAAGTTCCATCATCAACAGTCTGAGGGCAAAGAAAGTCTGTAAAGTGGCTCCCATAGCAGGCGAAACAAAGGTAAAGATGGAGAAATAAACACTGATGTGTGCATTTTGTACAGTGAATTTCATTCATTTTAGATAAAAGTATTTATGTATGTTCACATATTAGCATGATAAGTGCACCTATCGCAGGGTATAAAGAATGTGCATCACCAAAAAATTGGAAGGTCCACCAAATGTTCAGCTATCAATGCAAGTTAAAATTTAAAAAATTAAAGAAGTGAAATTCCAGGGTTTCTTTTTCCATAATAATGCAGTCAAATTATTAAGGCCATACCTTTATTATACAAGAATTAAATATACATGTAAAAAATATTTTTGATGGGGGAAATAACTCGAATATATTTTACATGTAATAATTGATAACTCCAATATTAAGAAAATAACAAAGAGCATTCAACTGGTCCTTGAATAGCATGAAAAATCTGTGCCAAATTTTGAGTCTCTCCTCTGTTTTAATCCACAGAAAGGTGTGAAAATTACACTGGGTAACAGGAAATCGCTTCACGAATATAACGCACACTGTTTTGTGTTAAAATTATTGACAGCTGCGCTTATGTATTGGGAACAGCTCACCTGAGCCGAAGGCTACAAATGAATGAAGTATTGTACCTGTCTAGCTGTCTGTCCGTCTGTCTGTCTGTAAACTTTTCACATTTTCGACTTCTTCTCAAGAACCACGTTCCAATTTTGACCAAATATATAAGCATCCTTGGGTGAAGGGGAATTTAAATTGTTAAAATGAAGGGCCAAGTGGCCAACACAAGGGGAGATAATCAAGAAAAGACAAAAATAGGGTTGGGTCATTAAAAAATCTTCTTCTCAAGAACCACTGGGCCAGTAAAGCTGATACTTATGTGGAAGCATACTTGGGTAGTGTAGATTCTAAATTGTTCAAATCATGACCCCCGGGGGAAGGGCGGGGCCACAATGGGGAATCAAAGTTTTATATAGAAATAAATAGGAAAAATCTTTGAAAATCTTTTTAAAACCACTGGGCCAGAAAACTGAAACTTATGTGGAAGCAATGGTATAGTGTAGATTAAAATTGTTCACATATGACCCCCGGGGGAAGGGCGGGGCCACAATTTTCAAAGTTTTACATGTGTACATAGAAATATATAGGAAAAATCTTTGAAAATCTTCTTCTCAAGAACCACTGGGCCAGAAAAGCTGAAACTTATGTGGAAGCAGGTTAATGTAGATTCTAAATTGTTCAAATAATAAAACGGGGCCACAATGGGGAATAAAGTTTTACATAGAAATAAAAGGAAAAATCAAAATCTTTTCCAAGAACCACTGGTCTAAAAATTGAAACTTATGTGGAAGCATCCTGGTATAGTGTAGATTCAAAATTGTAGGAATCATGATTTAATGCGGGGCCATTTTTCAAAGTTTTACATAGAAATACATGTGAAAAATCTTTGATTATCTTCTTCTCAGGAACCACTGGGCCAAAAAAGTTGAACATATGTGCCCATGGAAGGATCATGGGGTTTAGATTTCAAAATGTCTATTATAATATTGGGGTAGGGTGGGGATGCATTATGTATAACAAGGGGGAAATCTGGTAAAGAACAGAATGGTCAAAGCTTCTCAGGTGAGCAATGTGGCCCATGGGCCTCTTGTTTAAATAGATGTTCAAACAGGCGTAATTTACATTAAATGAACTATTATCTGCAGTTTCATTTTCTTTTCTTGATATACATATTATATCACACTTACGAATAAATAATAAATTTAAAAAATAAATTAATTAATACACATACATGTACCTATGTCAGTTTTGCATCGTAGTAAAATAATGATCTAGCCATGGATACATGAAAAATTTTACTTGTTTAATATTTGAAAAAATTAATTAATAATTGAAATTTTAAATTCAATCTACACAAAGTGAAATAAATGCAGGTTTTCACTTTTGTAACTTAATGATAATTATTAAAATATTTCTTTGGTTTATAGATTAATAGTTTTTTTTTTTATTTTTACAATATTTCTGAAAAAAAAAATCTTACTAGTCCCAGATTTGATTCTGTTGACTGGTTAGATTTATGCTTTATTGGTCTGTCTGGTATCGGTATATATTAAAGTTAGTTTTAATTAATGCCTTGTGTAATGTTTCATTCATTAATTCAATCATTTATAAAGGTCCACCAGACGCCACACCCACCAATAATTTTTGACAAAGGAGCGGTCCACCAAGTCTAAAAAAGTTAGTACACCCTGCTATGTATAAAGAATGTGCATCTTGAGAAAGGAGTTTGAATATCAGCTATCAATGCAAGTTATATATCTAAAAAATTAAAATATTGGACACTTGTTACCATAATAATGTTGAATTATTACGTAATGCACATTTAACAATCTGGTATATAATGTAATTGTTAAGGTCTGGCAGTATGTTACTCTGATGAAGAGGATTTACCTGGTGGACTGTCCAGGTGTAGTGTACCCCACAGCTGCCACGCCCACCGAGTCAGTCCTCAAAGGAGTGGTAAGTCTTCATATTATATACACAGCTGCCACGCCCACCGAGTCTGTCCTCAAAGGAGTGGTAAGTCTTCATACTATAGATATAGCTGCCAAACCGAGTCTGTTCACAAAGGGGTGGTATAAAGTCTTCATGTTTAATATAGACCAAATTGTAATGTGAACTAACTCCTTTAAAGTGACACTATTTCAATAGTCCTTATAGTTAGTGAAGGGATAAAAGTTTCAGACATTCTTGGAAGCATGTATGCAAAGTTTGGTGAAAAGTCAGTATCAAAATTCAGCATTTATCTGCTAATCCTTAAAGTTTTGGGTGAAATTGTTTATTGTTTGATGATTTTGTAGGTAAGAGTTGAGCTGGTTAAGAGCCCTGAGGACTATATTCCAGCAATGTTAGAAAGAGTGAAACCAGAATACATCAAAAACACGTACAAAGTGGAGGACTGGAAAAGTGCTGAGGATTTCCTAGAGCAGATTGCCAGAAAGTCGGGAAAACTTCTCAAGGTATTGGTGCATACCATGGAGATACTAAATATTTTTGGTTGGAGGTCTGAAAAAAAATCCACAGCCAGTTATGATCTGTCTGTGGATGTAATGTATCATTATTTCTAGTCAATTTTTTATTTCAACTTAAAACTGTATGTTTTATAAATGTTTAGAAACTAGGAGGATTTTACCCTCACTTTGGACTTTCATCGTGATTATTTTTAGATTCTCATTGGTTTTTCAGGAACCTAAAATTGTTGTTGATGACGATGTATATGCCCCACCTCTGTGCAAATTGGCTATTTACTACACCAGTTGACATAAGCTTTTGTATCAATGTATATTTCAACAGTGAAGGGAAAAATTTCAGAAGCTAATTATATTTCACGCTTTACTGAAAGTCCAAACTAGGCGTGTAATGATAATATTTTCCAGATATTTTACAAGTGAATAAGAAAATACAAAAAAAATTGATCATTAATTATTAAAGTTACAACTGACCGGTATGTATGACAAAAATTGATAATTTTACTTTGCATAATACATTGGTCTTTTAAGGGTGGAGAACCAGATTTGGGAACTGTGGCCAAAATGGTGTTGAATGATTGGCAGAGAGGAAAAATCCCTTATTTTGTCAAACCTCCAGGGTGTGAGGTATATTTATAAATAAATCAGTTTACAAATAATACACTTCATTTTCAGCATCTCCATATTGAAAAACTGAGAGGCATAATCAAACAAAACTAATATCAAAAAGAGACAAGGCATATGAGCAAATATAAGTAATGCACTTTCCAATGATTTTTAAAAGAATTGCTCAGAATTTTAATTGATACCAAGATGTTTGGGTTTTCTGAAATTGACACTGAGTAATAAAAATTTTATGTTTGTGATTGCACCAATTTCAACCTGTGTTTGCATTGTATTTAGAATGAAGAACCAGGGAGTTCAGAAGATCAAAGTAATGAAAACCACACTACAGAGAAAGTAACAGAGGAGGAGACTGTAAGCCCTACAGACAAGAAAAAGCAGCCTGCTGTTCAACAGAACCTGAGTAAAATTCAAGTGGAGCCCAAGTTTCTGGAAGAGGACATCAAGAAAGTGGAAGACGTGGAGGGCAAAGATGATTCTGACCTTGAGGCTGAGGCCAAGGTCAGTGAAGGGGAAGAAGAGGTCACCGAGGAGCAACAAAAAGAAAAGAAATCCACAAAAAAGAAAAGGAAGGGAATTAAAACAGACAGCAAAAAAGATGTGGATGTGTCAGACATTAAAGAAACAGAGAAAGTTGAACTGAGAGATAGTGAATGTGTGTCTGACAGGTTACAACCAGGTGAGGAAGGGACAGGAAATGCGGTGAAGGTCAAGGGGAGTAAGAGGAAGGCAGAGGAGGGGGAACCAGACCAGGCAAAGGTTACCCACTCCACCAGTGGAAAATTCACCGTCAGCAATGATGGACAGCAGAACCAAAAGAAAATGAAGTCAGGTATAGAATTTAAGTAGATAGAAATGTAGTTTATTTCTCGGATAATGTTAAATATTAATAATAAATGCATGAATTATAATTGTGATTAAATGTTATATAGGGAATAAGAGACAACCGAAACACAGAGATATCCAGGCTGAAGAGAACGACTCTCCACAGTCCAAGCTTACTAGTAAACAGGTAGGCTCACTTCTCCATTCATCTGTGAGGAGTGTGTAATATTTTTGTTCATGGAAGATAATTCTGAAATATTCTATAAAACAGCATCATGATATTTTATTCTTTTCTTTCTCCAGAAGCGAAGATTAGAAAGAGAAGCTCGAACTAAGAAGATTGGAACTCACTTTTACACAACAACAAATGTTAAGAATAAGAGGAGGTGATCTTTAATGTAATATAATACATTGAACTCGAGATTGTTACATATACTGATTTTATAATAGAAAATGCAATAAAATGGCATGAAATTTAAACAAGTGTATTTTATTTACAAATTTTATGGAATATGAAATTTTCATATAAAATTTAAATAACTGTGTACATGCATTTGATAAGTCTTTGAGACAAAATTTCAGTCTGTATAAAAAATATAAATCTATATACATTTGACTGAGATCAGTAAAGCTTTATTTTAAATTATATAAACATGGATGAACTGACTGACAATGATAAAATGAAGATCTAAACTTCAAAAATTACAATACAAAAAATAATAGTGGAAAAAAAAAGACATTTATTGAATAATTGAAAATCAGGTGATGTTATACCACCTACCTGTACTTGTATACTAAGATATTGACTATGCATTGTAATGCTCAGTCCATGACAGATCCTGCTTCAATGAAGCGACAAAGATGTTATTAAATGCACTCTTGTATATTTACAATGATATTTCACAATATTATACTTTCATGTAAATTATGTATATTTAAAAAACAATGAATAATACGCCCTCCTGCCTAGCAACAGTCACATTGCTTTGTTGCTTTCCTGTAATATGTATTTGTATAAAACACAAATATAAAACTGTATGAATTAAAGTATAGTTAATGTTACACTCAACTACATGCAATATTTATATATTGTTGATACAAATATAAAACTATATAAATTAAAGTTATTTTTACAGGGGGGGGGGGGGGTCACATCTGATAAAAAATAAAAAAAAAAATTAAGGGAAGTTCAACTGCAAAATGTGATATCATTCATTAATGGGTATAAGTGGTTCAAATTTTGCGATTTGTCCAAAATGTTATTTATTTTTGAGATGTTATTTTAGCAATTTAAAATTGAAACAAAAAGCTATTACAAATAAAACGCAATTAATTTTTAGCGATATTCAATTTTAGCGATCTCAGCACCCTCGCTAATAATGCCAAAATTAAATCCTCGCTAAAAATTCTACTTATACGATACTTATTTTGAAAATTGACCAGTATGCATATGAAATACATGTACTTTGAGCTGAAAAAGTTGATGATCATATAGGCAATAAAGGCACAGACACATATTTTCTATTCATCTGCTTTATCTCCTGTGTCCATTTTTAATTCGGAATTGTTTTCTCCTCCAATATTTATATCCTCTTCCTTCGTTTCCCGTACATCATCTAAAGAATTATTTTTACTTTCTACTCCGTCAATGTATTTGAAGTCACTTTCAGGGACACTTCCATTTGTAGTTGCCATGTTTGTCCCTGTTTCATCACTGTTGTCTTCTGTCTTGTTCTCGTCTTCTATGTTTGTGTTTTCTGGATGAGGTTCCTCTGTTGACGTATCACCAGCTGTGTTTTCTTGATCTGCTGACGGTTTTGCCTCCACATCTGTAGATTCACCACTGTACACTGCCGTGCTCTGCTCCAATAATGGAACTGCCTCTCCTCCATTCATTTTCTCATTTTCCACCGTTGCATTTGTGGTACCTTTAATTAATATATATTTTGATAAAGATTTAAAAGTCTTACATATGCATTTTGTTCCTCAAATTATTTAATAGTGATTCATTATTGAGGTCTCTTGAAAAAAACATTTTTTTTCTTGAATTTTGAAATTTACCTAAATTGTCTTGAATTTCAATGTCTTGCATTTCAATGGCATGACCATTACCATCAGCATTAGTCTTTTTGGAACTTATTGGCTCTACTTCGTTCAATTCATAATCTGCACCCTGGTTTCTTCTCCTACAAAAATTAAAGAACAATTATTATATGGGGTCCAGGGGACAAAACAAACAGAAACAAACCAGAGTTCCTTAGGGAAGGGAATTAACATACCACAGGATGAATCCGATGACAAAGGCAATGACCAGCAGACAAACAATGATTATAACAACAGCGATGATAGTCGACTGCATATCACTGGATGGGTTGGCAAGTGTAGCATCTACCAAATACAAGAGGACATTATACAATTATGGACTGTTTAGAAGGGAGACATTACCAATTATTAGGTCTAAGTAGGGTTGTCACCCAAGGGTGCAAAACCCTACTCAGACCTGATAATTGGTAATTAATGTCTCCTTTCTTAAAAGTCCATAATAGTTTTATTATCCTGAAGAATCTAAATTATCAAATAGAGTAGAAAATAGTGATCAAATCTCTTGTTTTCTACTCTGCTCCGATTCCATAGTTTCAAAATATGTCAACAGACAACTTTGATGTCATCGTTTGAATTTTTTGTGTACGATCCTGCATATTTAGCAATATGTACATGTATAATGATTAGAAATAAGAGTTATTTTGGCTTCAACCACTGTAATTTCATTCAAAGGGCAACAGTTGTCACTATGTGCGTGAGGAGACATCATGAATTGTCAAACATCATGTGACATGCTCTAAACCAATCAGATTGGGTGTATAATTCTGAAGAATAATAAAAGTACTGGATCCTTGGTGCCAATAATATTTAAACCAATTGCCAAGAGCTTTGATAAAATACATATTTACCATTTGATTTTAGCTTGGTTGTACAATACATTCCCTCATATCCAGATTTGCAAGAAGAACATGACCCGTTGGTTTTGTCACATACCACAGCACAATTGGAGCTACATTTTTGCATACAACCAGCACCATAGTAGTTGTCAGCACAATCTGAAAATATATTAAAGAAGGGAACATTATAAACATGCATTCAATAAAGGGGCTTTTCTAATGATTATCCAATATAAAGTTCTATCCCAATACCTTGATTACACATGGATCCAGTTTTGCCGGCTGGACACGAGGAGCATGATCCATCCACCTTGTTACATGGCACACCCATCCCACAGGTGTTACAGGTGCCCGTGCAATTATTACCATAAGTACCTGAGGTACAATCTGTAATAAAAAAAAACATTATATATTTATTCCGCCACTTGGTCTATTAGTAAAAAATTGCATAGCAAAAATTATACATGGACTTGAAAATACCAAAATATGCAAAAGAATCTACCAGTTCTGCACAAAGGGTCTGTTTTTGTGTAGCCACTTTTGCACGTGCAGTGCCCAGTCATTGTGTTGCATGTTCCAGTTTCACAGTTGGAAGAGCAGTTGAATTTACAGTCAATGCCATAATTGTCATTGTTGCATGCTGAAAAGATATTAAAAAGGGATATTTATGAACCAAAGTGTTGTTACAATTTTCCAAAGTGCATTTTTGCATATAAACTCCCTACTCAAGTCAACAATAATTAAAAAAGATACCGGTATTGTCAAAATTGAGTGAAGCTGATTAAATTGGTCAGAAACTTACTCTCGTTACAATGTAAACCCTGGTAGCCTGCAAGACATCTCGTATTATTAGATGTCAAATCGCAAGTTCCATTGATGTGTGAGCATGACTGGATGCAATTGCTGCTACACCTGATATCGCAGTTATCTCCCGTATATGAATTGCTGCTACAACCCGATATACACTTTCCTGTATCCATTTCACAAGATCGACCAGAGCCCGATGACTGGCAGTTAGAGCTACACATCATGGCGCATCGGCTTCCGTAATATCCTTCCATGCATGCTGTAAAAAAAACGAGAACGGTGTTTGTTTATTCCAACGAGGTGCATATTCTGCCTAACCACAATGAAGGTTTAGGCGAATCTTATCCAAGTAACACTGGAATTGCTTCATACGGATATGCTTCATTCATGATTAAGTTGATTGCTGAGGTTTTGGACTTGGAAAACGTTAATATTTTAAACTTTTGTCTGGTAAAAAGTAATTCAGTATCTCGTACTGTGTTTATACTTACGGAAGATCTCTGTGATGCTATCGATGTACGTGGAAAATATGTCTTGAGCGGTCAGTGCGAGATACCTCGTCACGCTGGTAATGTTAGACCAACAGGGTAACGAGGACACGCCTCCACAGCCAGGCTTATTGACTACGTTGTAGAAAACTCGGTATTTCAACCTAAAAAGTATTGTATTATTATAAAACCCTTATTCCTCAACAATGTTTAAATGACTCTTACTTAATGCTTTGAATATGCCATTTTTGGCATTTCCTTGAATAGCAATTACTAATTGGTTGTAAGTTTAGGATATCATTTTTTTCTGTTTATTTTTCAAAAATATTTCTATATCATGACACAAAACAACATTAGATTTTAGAAGCTGTGACTGTGGTTCTTTAAGTTTGTATACAATTTATTTTAAAGGGGCTCAATATTTCGAATCCATCCTTATTACGTATTGACTTGAATAGAAGAGTTCTAGAGATGTAAACAAAACACGGATTTACATCACAGGTGCCTGTAGACAGGACCCCCCCTCCCCAATATAGACCCCCGGGCCTGTTACACTTTTATCACATAAATTATATATGGATGACACATTTGTGATATGATCTATCCTATCAACTCAGAAAATTTGCTTAAACTAACATTTTATAAAAATTTCTACCCCTCTGTATATATAAATAGAGTATAGGTTAGATTTTATAGAACGTTTGTTTTAGGTAATTTTTCGATTTGTTGGTATACATCTTATCACAAATATGTCAATGAAAGATTATTTATGAGAAAAAAGAAAAAGCCCAGGGGTCTATAAACTCAAGCACCTGTGATTTACATTGTGCATCTTCATTAGCAACTAGAGCCGAAAGTAACGTTATTCCTGGATACCCCCGACATTATTAATGTTATCCCGCTAAATACACGTATAGATTGTTAGCAGGAATTATAATGGATACAAAACAGGAATAATATTATTACCAGTATTCGAAGAAATTTAAAGTGAAAACATAAAGCAAAAGGATCCCAAAATTTACTGAATATTATTTTTTAATGTGCAAGGAAACGATATCTTTTAGTTTAATATAGTACATTATAATCGTATATATTTTTTCATTCGTTTATTTTTTATTTTAAAGATTTTAAAACTGTTTAATAATGAAATTCAAAGCTTGCTTATACACATGAATAGCTGCAGAACTGTAGCTCTCTGCTTGAGAAAATTCGCACAGATAAAGCAGAGATTAGCGCTCTCTGCTTTATCTGTCCGAATGTTCTCAAGCAGAGAGCTACAGTTCTGCAGCTAATACATGAACAGAGTTACTTTAATATTCTTACGAAGTTGCAAAGTCGGGATAAGGGTTGATCATTAGAGCTCCCGTGCCAGGATTAAATCTGTCTGTGGTCAATCGACGAACAAAAAATCCAGGGAATTCCGGAAAGACGGTGAGATCTAAGGGCAAGTATTTACTGAACAGTGTGGGGGTAGATTCATTTAACATTGTCACGTTGTTACCAATACTACCCCTCAATAAAACAAAATCAAACACAACCACGCCGAGGATGTTCGAAGAGTCTCTTTTGTTACTCAAACAGTCCAGTCCGTCACTGCCACAGCTCTCGTTACTGCAGTATCTCAGTGACGTTGCATTAGATAAATCTACACACATGTTGTCATCAAAATAACCAGAACACAGAAAAGCCAGGTCCCTAATGTCTGTTCCATTGTCGTATGTGCCGCTACAAATTTCAAAGGTTGTGTTATGGCAGTCAAAGCCATCATACAGACACAGTTCGTTGTTACATTCACTATCACACACGCGGTTAGCAAACTTATTCTTACACTGCATACAATCCTTCCATATACAGTTTCGATCACGCTGTAAAATAGTGAAATAAGTAAATTAATGCAAAGTGAGTGATATATTGAAAGGCAAGACAGGTTATTAGCAAGATTTTTTTTAAATTGTAAAGGATACTTGCCTCACATCTAACTTGACAATTGTAGCCAGTATATTCACTGGGGCATTGGCATGTGTAGTAACCTATAGTAGAAGATAGACGTAGTTAATATTAAAAAAAAATAAAAGAGAAAAATAATTCTTATAATAACATCCGTACGGACAACGGGTGATCAAAACAGCTCACTCGAGCTTTCAGCTCAGGTGAGCTAAGAACCCTCTATTATATCAAGCATAAAGTATACAAAATTCCTGAAATTTCAAAAAGTTTACAAATCGTTAATGCCATACACCTTAAAAAAATTAAGAAACTCATTTAAAAAAAAAACAACTTTCCAAGTATACCTGTTTTATCCATGCAGGTTCCCCCGTTTTGACACGGGGATGAGCTACATTCGTTAGTTGTGTTGATGGCACAGGTAGGGCCACTCGTCCCCACGGGACACACGCACCTACAGGTAGCGCCAGCATCCGGCACAGACACTCCACCATTTTCACAACCGCAGTCAACTTTATACTGGCAACTATCTCCTACAAAAGAACATTTCGTTCTAAATATAGCGAAGACCTATGGGCATGATAGGACCGGGTGAGTTTTAAGTTGAGTTTTAGTCTAAAGTTATGATTTTTTTTTTTTTATAAACTTGATTAAAGAATCGATTTCTGTTCTTGTGAATGAAAATGAATTTAGGTAAATACATCCTTATGGCATGTTGTAAAATTTGAAATTACCAGGTGGTATAATACATACACTTTAGTTAGTTATCAAAATGAAAATTAGATTTTGTAATTTACTCCCATCCGGTATATTCAAAAGTTACAAAACGGTACAGAGATGAAGTCAACGGTTTTCATTTCAGTATTTAGAGATAAGAGACACCTTAGCTTTTCATTAATCATGTACCACGATATTGAATTATATCTTTTATTTTTCTTTACTTTCAGTTAATTAAACGGTAAAGTCTAAAAATATATATATTGTCTATTTTCGGTATAAGCAATTAACTGTTCATAAAAAATGATGAACAAGATTAGTATTCTATGACCAATCTGATCGACCCTTTTAAAATGGAAATAATGCAAAAAAAAAAAAATAATTAAACATATATTACCATAGTAACTGCTATTGCAAGGACATGTTCCATTGCATTCTGGGAATGAGCCGCCATTGTAACACAGAGCACTACAGTTGGTCATCGCTTCACAGTAAAGTCCAACGTATCCTCCTTGACATTCACACGTTGGGAATTTATTGAATTGTCCATAGACACAACTTCCGTTATTTAAGCACACAGACGTACTGAAATGTATAAAAACCGAGAAATACAATCGAGCACTGCTAAAGCTATTTATAGATATCCACGATAGAATTCAATCATAAACTTCATGTAGATACTAAAACAAACTCCCATCCTTCATAAACCACTGCTGGTAAAGTGCGAATCGAGAAAATCTTGGTTTCGGACACTAGCTACTATTGGCACCTGTGAAATATCTGGTTTATGGTATTTTTTTTGAAATTTCAAAATAAAAATCAACTTTCACAAAGCAACATGATTAAATATCTGATGGATTGAATTCGTTTTGTACCCAAAAGGCGCCCCATATCGAAACATTGTATAAAAATAGCTATTTACATCGTGTTTTTCACGTATTCGTGTTCTATTACGAAATAGAGGACAAGAAGATAAATTGGACAGGTTAGTAGATTTATTTTTATTAATCATACGTTATTTAACATTAAACAATGTTTTTTTAATAAAATATTTTACAAATTTGCTGATAACTAGCAAAATTATTTTGAAGACGCTACAATTGGTTTCTGTAACACTTAAACACAGGCGACTATTTACTTGTGTAAATGCGACAATTGGTTTACGTATGTGAGACTCTTGGTTTATGTAGCTAAAATGTGAAAAATACGAAATTTTGAACACTTCCATGATATATGAACATAGATTTTGTTGTATATAGTAATTTTTAATCAGTCTTTTCTCTCTCTCTCTCTCTCTCTCTCTCTCTCTCTCTCTCTCTCTCTCTCTTCAGTGTTATTAATAAATAGTATTCTTAATTTTACTTTTAGATGGAGATAGACGGAACATTGCAGTCAAATGAAGAACTCATACAACAACAAAATGCACCAGTGAAAATCTATAAATGTATTAGCTGTAGTTTTTCGTCAAAATGGCGATCGAGCTTATTGAGACATAAGAGAACCCACAATGGTAATATATTTGCTTGCAATATTTGCAGCAACAAGTATCAAACTAATAGTGCTTTGAGCGAACACAAGAGGATAAAACATGAAGAAGGGCTAGTATGTAGTCATTGTTCAAAAAGATTTCACTCTAGACAAGGTTTAAATCAACACAATATGCGAGTTTTAGGAAATTATAAATTCAGATGTGACATATGTGAAAAAACGTTTTATAATAAAAATCACTTCGACTGTCATATGAACAATCACAGAAATTATAGGCCCCACAAGTGTCCAAAATGCAAAAAGGCCTTCATTTATAGATCATCGTACAATGACCACATTAAAACCTGTGGGACGAATGAAGGCCACCAATGCCACATTTGCAACATGTCTTTTGGGAGCCAGCCAACGCTTAGAAACCACATGCAGGGAAAACATAGCGAACGCACACATGTATGCGAGGTTTGTGGGAAATACTACAAATGGGCAGCAAGCTACTACAGGCATATAAAGAAACACTCGTGATTAAGCACATTTCTATTGTTGTTATTTACGAAATTTTCTCCATTAATAAAAAGTGAAATTAAACATGGTTATTATTATTTTTATTTAAACAATTTATATTATATCAGGAAGTTCAATTCCTGCCCTCGTATGTGGAAATATTTTTGTCTCGTCAATTCTGTATCTTTCAGCTCTAACCCCCCTTGTTCCTCTTGCAGGTTCATCCAAAGAGCTTATTGTCCCTTTCTTTCTCTTAGGATTCCTTTTTTTCTCATCTTGTAAATCAAACCTATGGTCACTAAAACATAAAGTACTCAGTAATTTTCGGTTAATCTTGGCATTTAACTTTTTCTTTAAATATGAAATACAAAATGAAGCTAGTGTAAAGAAAAAAATTATAATTACTTCATCTCAATTATCTTCAGCCCCCGAAGGTGGTCTATTGTTGGGATTTTAACAGTCGTGTTGATGAGGTTTTCACATTTTTCCAAGGAACGGACTGGATACACTCTTGATGAGGAAGTGTGCATATAAAATCCCCTAAAAAAACAAAATCTTATTGCACTTAATTATCTAAAGAAGTGCGGCTTTCAAGTCAAGTCCTTACAGAACACATGTAAGACGTCTCATAATTTCACACACTCACCTATCAGAATTTAGTCTTGTAGCGTATAAATCGCAAGCAGTATATAGCGCATGCTTCACTTCATCAGCCCTTAAAACCCCACTTCCTTTTGCATCCCAGTCCTGGAAAGCACCAAACAAATTCTCGTTGTCAAGAGTTCCAAGACTTCTAGCATTGTAGGATCCTGCAGTAAAAGCATAAAGCTGTGAACGACGGTCAATATGCACTAAAAGACCTTCAAATAGTACTACTGGTACATCTTTAACATGTTTTCCAGGTGGTGGGAAAACATCAAATCTCACATTGTTCAGTAACCATGTTCGTAAATTTTGTTCGTATTCATGTCGGACAAGACTTGTAAGGCCCCGTTCGTCTTGTGCCCTGTACCAATTCCTCATCAAAGAACAAAAGTTTGCCTCGTTTTCAAATCCGATTTCCCGCATGGCATTTTCAACCTCTAAGCTGAACGTTTTGATGGCAAATCCAACATTTTGTTTATCAACTAAGTCTTGTACTAGTGCAAGATTTAAGTTTGACCCATTCGATTTTCCATTTTTTGCAGTTTCTACCCATGCTTTTCTTGAAATTTTTGCTTTTGGCATGCCTGTGCTGCATATCTTTGTTCTCATGTTTGTCAAAAGATGTTCAGGATCTAGGAACTCAAGCAAGTGTTGTGATTCAGAAGGTATATATTTTGGCTGGCAATACCAGAAACGTGGTTTCTGTGAACCACTGATCGTGCAACCATCCTGAAATGTTGCTTCATCACGCCACTTCTGTAATTCACGAGGATAAATACAAGCCGCTTGTACTGCATTCAAAAAGTGTTTGGGGATTTTTTTCTGAATAAAACTTTTAACTATAGAGCGTAACGACTGCGGTTGAAATATCTTCCTTCCAATATCAACAGTGGATCCATCACCAAACTTTTCCACAAATTTGTTCACAATTTCACATTTCCTCATACTTGACAGCGACTGTATGCCATTCTTCTTTAGCTTCTTGTTAATTGGTCTGCAAAATGAAATTATTTCTTGCTTAGTCAGTTTGTTCAATGAAGCGGCTGTGGATATTATGTCGAGGAATTCTTCTTTTGAACAATGTCTCCGTTTTCCATTTTCACAAAAACTAATCCACATTGCATTCTTCTCATAATCATCAAAATCCTTTAAGGTTTCTTTGTCATTCTGTGCTGGAAGATAGAACTTACTGAAATCGTCAACAAGATCGTTGTTAACTTCAATTTCGATGTCCGTGTTTTCATTTTCCCCTATTACTAGTACTTCTTCAGTTATTTGTTGAATTCCCTTTCCAGTTCCAATGTCATCGTCTGCTGTTTGTAAAATCCCTGTTTCGATGTCTTCAGCAATTTGTCCGTTTTCTTTACGATGAATTGTTAATGTCTCTTTATCTGAATTTAGAAGTTCCCTCCAGTTTAATGGAGTTCTGGGAGTATTTTTCTTCTCCTCAAGGTAGCCAATACAGAATTGATGAACTATGCCATTTTTTGTGCGCACTTCTTTACACTGAACATCGAATCTACTCTTCAAATCTTCAAAACTTTCAATACTATCTATCTTAAGTGAATCAAAAATGTTTTTCACAATTTGGTGTTTAGGCATAGAGCACGCTTCTGTCCAGACATCTTTTGAAAGCTGTAATAAGGTAAGAGGTTCATTTCTCTCTCCACGCAATGCTAATCGAGCAAACGCACCATCAAAACATTGTGCCACAATGTTGATACCCCTTTCTTTACAACATTTCCTTACTTCTGCGAGTATATCTGAAGCTTGCTGACAAGTAAAACTGTAGCCAGTGAGACAATATGCTACTGGACATGAGTGTGGAATCTCTGGTTTGTAATAACGGTCAAAGTCAGACAGCATGATTACCAGCACTTGTTTTGCAATATCTCTTGTCAGTGAATTCGAAGCCAACACACAATTTTGGTACTTCCGAAAGCTTGTTTCTATTTCCTCTGTCCATACTATTTCCATGTTGCTCTCACAAACATCGTTATCTTCGTTTCTTCCGTGAGATAAGTAAAGATCGTTCACGTTATTAATATGAACAGAATTGTGTGAACAAGGATTTGCTGTTAATGATCCTACTTCACAAATGAAATTGCTTTTCGTTTCAATGTATTCAGCAATATCCGACTTCAGCTCTTTTAACTTTGGATGAAGCTTAGTTGGTCTTTTAGGACAAGCAACTCCATAAATATCCACTATAATATCCCACATCTTCTGCCAAAGGTTTTCTGAGAAAGTTGCCTCTATAACAGTTGTTACGTTTGGTAGCCAACAAACCAGCAATGCTGAATTCACTTTCATAGCCTGCATTTCCAACATCAATTGCAATACATATCTGGTAGGAATTCTGTAGTAAGGCCCAGCTGCAGATGAATAAGGACATTTGATTTCGATAGCTTTCTCTACTTTGTCATTTCGTCGAAGACTGCCATCAGGGCTGACTACACAAAATGGTTTACCATTTCTTTCAATAATGTGAGCGCCTTCTTCTTGGAAATGCAAATCTGGGTAAAAGGTTGGAAGAACTGAAGCTATCAAAGTTGCCATTCCATTGACTTCATTCTGTTCTCCGTGCGCCATTCTCTTCCTTGTTTCCTCGTTTATGGGATCCTTTTCTTTGTTGCGGAATTTCTCATCAAAATGTTCTTGTTCCCGTTTCAATGATTCAAGACCTATTGCTGCATATGCTGTGCTTCCAGTTATAGAAGCTTTGCTGCGGATATCAAACCACTCAGGGGATCGCTGTTTGACATAATTGCATGAAATATGCAGTGGAATGTTGTAACGATGTGCGAATTCTTTATCCATGGCAACTAAGCACTTGTAATTAGGCTGATAATCCAAATCTACCTTGTTTGATATTGGATATGGAATTCCATTCATAACTGAGCCGATACGCAATATATCGCTTGTTGTCTTGGTTATATCTGACATAACTATTCTTATGTCACAAAGTGAAATCTGAATTTTACTTAGAACATACGCCACTTTGGACTCCTTCCATTTTGATCCAGCTTCAGATTTTAGCTTTTCTATTGTGTATTCTCTTTTAGTCTTCAGCTCTCGGAGATCTCTTTGTCTTCTGCTTAGTATTTTCACTATTTGAGGAAGCATTGTGGTGAATTGTTTTTTAGTTTGGTTGTCTTTATCAATGTCTAGCTTTTCGTGTAGAGATCTTGCATTGGTAAGTACATCTAGTTCATCATGTAATCTTTCATTTCTTTCAATGAATGTGGGCTTTTTCTCAAATCCTAAGCAGTTCACATCCCCAAATTTGCCTCCAGGATTTAACTTTTTTAAATCCATACTCAGTTTAAAAGCAGTTGATTTAGACTCGCACTTCGATGCAATTTGTTCTATAACTGGAATCATAATGCCAGGTGATTGACAACTTTCTTTAATTGTGTCGTTCTCTGTTTCTAGAACTTGTTTGCTTGGAACAATAAAGTTAATCTTTGAATCCTTTGTTTCAAACTGGCCTAGCTGAACACCGTCTTCAAACGTTTGACCTTTGTGCTTTAGTCCTGACATAAATCTCAAAAATTTGTCTTTGAACAATTGCTTTCCTGTTCTCCAGAAGCGTTTCACATTGGAATCGTATCGCATTCCACAGGAATTGTGTGTTGCAAACCAAGTAACGACGTTCATGAACAGTTTATAGGAAATGTTGTTTAGAGGAAGGCTTTTGTTTGCCATAATTCTGATAAGATTTGTCCATTCCTCTACCTCTTCATTTTCAACTATGTATTCAGCCACTTGGGGTAGATAACTAGACACATCTTTGATAAAATGCTTTGCTTTGTCAGTTAATTGTCCACAATCTATGAAAACATTTGCTTCATCTTCTTTTCCGCTGTCTGCTTTATCTTGTATCTCATGATTTTCATTCTTTTCATTCTTTCCTCCATTCTCAGTTTCTAAAACCTTTTGTTTTTTTATTGGAGGGAGGTCCAAAGAATCTTCTATGTTGACCACTTTAATATTTCTTTTCTTTTCATTTGGAATGATACTTCTACCAGCTTTGAATTCTGTTTCGGGTGTTACTTTAAAATTTATATTTTGGAATGTTCTGTTTGGAAGAGTTCTTTTCTTGATAATTAATTGCTCTTTTGTATGATGATGGATAGTGTGATGCACTGTGTTTTCAAACGATGATCCTGTGAATTGACAGCGAAAACAACCAAATTCTGTCATCTGTAAGACAATTATATCGTATGTACTATAACCCTTGTAGTGTATATATATACAGCAGTAAAACGTCGCACCAGTTGGGAAAAAACACAAGCCAGAAGTAGCATTTACAGGTGCCGAAAGTCGCATATACAGCAATAATATTCGCATCGTTATTGGGAAACTAAGTATTGTATCAAAATGTGAGTCTTGTGAAACATTACAGAAAGAAAAAAATCATTTACGATTGGAATATCACTTACAAAAATAAGTTTTAACGTAATTAATGCAATATAATTTGTGTAAAACAAGTAAAACTTCTTATGTGGAAAAGTCAAGTAACACACATTTATAATGTGTTACTAAAGCAGTTACTGGTGTTTTTCTCGTATGCATTCATGGAACAAGCAATAATACAGTAAAAAAACATTTCATACATTAATAATTACCTCTTAATCAAATGAACTGTCATGCCGGCACGTTAAATTGATCTGTGTTGCCTCATTTATGTAAACCAATAGTAGCTAGTGTCCGAAACCAAGATTTTCTCGATTCGCACTTTACCAGCAGTGTAAACGTAGACTCCTGACAAACACTGTACATGTTTAACTTTTGACTATAGAGTTGGGGTCATTGGTAGTTATATATTTTTGTCATCAACAATGTACATATAATATTTGAATTCTTAATTATCGATTCCAAAGTGACGAACAACAAAGCTTATTGCTCTGTGATCTTGACAGTCTATTTGAGAGTTATTTCCCGTACACGATTTAGTAACACATTTGGATGTAAAGAGTAGATGGACAGAAAATCATGAATTCTTAATACTTGTATGTTCCCTCTAATCATAATATAATAATATATAGCGGATTTAACCTTTATATTTGAATGGATTATCGAATTATTTAAAAAAAAAGTAATAAACAAATAATTTGTCATAACAATTAAATTAAGAAATGTCTCTCTCTTTTTTTTTTTTTTTTTTTACTAATTACATTTTATTACAATGTTATTTGTAACGCCACTTTCAAAATTTTATGAAAAGGGGGTAGCTACTGTTTTGGTCCTACTCTGCTTCTGTAGCATAGTTCACATGCCTAGAGAGTAAAGTATTGACAAGTAGTAAATACCAGAGAGTGATATACACCACACACTTGTAGAGGAAGATAGGAATACTCACGACTGAGAGCACAGGTCCAGGCTATACTGGCACTCGCTTCCGGTATAGCCATTCGTACAAATACAGACTTCCTGCGTCCCCAGAAAATCACATGTACCGTTGTTTCTACACATTTTATCACAGGGTAACTTAAAGCTGCAGGTCTGTCCCGAATAACCAGGCTGACAGACACAGGTCGTTGTGTTGGCGTCACAACGTGCGAAATTATCGCATGTAACTGAAAAAAAATCCAAATGTGATTCCATACGATTAAACTAAATTAATTTTTGATCATAAAAAATATGCAAGAGTTGATGGGAAGAAAAGTATTTTTTCTTTGTATATACACCCGCATAATCATAATTAATACATTTTCATTTTGCAAATAACAACGCAAAGTGAAAAAAATATATCCCATAATTAAGGTCAGACAACATGATCCTCAAATTTATCTTTTGCATTTCTTGATATTACATAAAAATATGCATATTTGTCATTCTCTTGTGATTTCTACATGTTTTTTAAATGTTTTAAACATAAGTACATCAAACATTCTGATATAGGCCATTCAGATGATTACCCATATAGATTATATAAGAAATATCACCCTGTGGTATCTTGTCCAAATGACTGGTAAGGTACCCTAATTTTTTGTGAGGAAACTTGTTTAAATACCTAGATTTCACAGACAAATTCTTGGGGGAAATTATATATTTTTGAGGAACTTGTCGTCTGACCCTTAAGTTACATCTTAACACCTGTCATATTGTAAATTTTGAATTTACCGGGTGGCAGTTTCAATTTACAATTTTTTATTTACTGACACCCTGTTAATTTAAAATTTACAATACGACACTCCTTAATTTTTTTTTCCAAAGTTGTATGTCATAAAAGTTACATTTATTTAATATTTTGAAGACATGTGAGGCATATTAAAATCGCTTTCTTCTTCTAATTTAGCAAAAAAGAGAGTTGTACTCTTGTAAAAGGTTCAGATTTCTCGCTTATAATTCATTACAACGAAGAACATACTGTAAACCAACTTTTTATTCGCCTGCGAGAAATTTTCGCGAAGTTCGCAAATATTTGTCACCACATACCGGCCCTTAAAGTGTATGTGCCTATATCAACAACAGATCCAAAATAGGCTTGATCGCGAAAATTAATCGTTGCGAACTGGTTTATCTATGGTAAATCGCGAAATAAAGTCATCGCGAATAAAAGTTGGTTTACAGTATTGAAAAAAAATAATTAATGAACTTGATAAAACAAGCATATCATTAATTCTCTCAAAAATGAGTTCGATATTGTTCCCTATGCAAATTATGCCACTTCCAAATATGCACAGTAGAATAAACTATCGCACCCACGCACTCAAACAAGCACCTTACTATCCCCCCTCTCCCCCATCTTAAATCGTCACGAGCCTGAGGGGATAATACATGTACTAGTAATAAAACTGAGTGATGGAAATACGTACCTGAGCCACAGGTAACCCTTTTGTTTTTATCTACCGACTGACTGTCATCACAAAAGTAATTTCCATTTGTGTTCTCACATGTGCCTTTCGTACACGGGGCTGAACCTGAAGTAAGTGGATTCCAAAATGAAATGAATAAAGATTTGTGCATAGATATTTAATTATTGGTGTGCATGCGTCAGCAATGCTTAAATAAAATGCTTCTCAAACTGAAAGATAGGTTGTACGTTGCTCATATTTTGCTTATTAGCTAGAATATACCTAGCATATATGCACTAGTTACACCCGACTGTCTTCTGAGAAAATCAGGGGTGGTGGTCCGCGTGGTGGCGGTGTTGAGTTGTGGACTAGTATATATAAATGTTCCCTACCTTGACATTCGTTTACATCTGCGCACGTTCCCAGAATAGTTGCTTGAAATCCCGAAGAACAGTTAAAAGCGTGGACACCTGTAATTATAAGTTATTCAAGATACTATACAGTACTTCAGAATTTGACTTGCTTCAAATACAGATTTACTAGATTATATACAATACATTCATTTTTGTTCGATTTTTGTTTTGTTTGTTTCCTTTCATATTTATTTATTTTTTGGTTACTAGTAATTCATCGTCTCAAGCCTCGGTCCGGAGTCCGCATAGAGCTCTCTCCAGAATGGGTGAGGACATTTTGGCCGTGGTTTGCGACGGTGCTAGCAATTACACTATAGTTTTTACAAAGGAACTTGATATTTGGTCAGACGTCCGGGCAGGTTATGCCTATAAAGTAATCGTTTTGTAATGTTGTATATTTTGAATTTACCGGGTGGGACTAAATACAAAATTTAGTTGTTAACTTATCATGTTGTAAATTTTGTATTTATTGCCACCCGATAAATTCAAAATTTACAACATGACAACTCCAAAATATATTGTTTATAGAAAAAGCATGAGGATTTTATATGTATTACATAGATTAATAAAATTCTAGCATGTGTCAGCAGAGACATATAAAACCTCATAGTATTTAAATAAAATTCAAACAACAATACAATTCTCCGGCTCTATTACAACTTCAAGTTTGCAGAACCATTATGATCTGAAAACAATTATTAGATTTAACTGTACAGTTTGGGTGGTTTCCAACATGTTATATTTATAGAATTTGAAGACAAATTCTTCTGATAATGTGTTCATATATCTATCACGTTGTGATTTTTTATAGAAACAATTTTAGTAGCATATGTTTTAGCTGACTTTAAAATATACTCTTAATTTACTGTAATTATTTTAAACAACTTGAAAAACTTTAATTATGCTAATTACTATGTAACTCCGAATCTGGAAATTAATTATTTAATCAATTTACTCAACATGTCATGAGTTATTCCATCTAAGCCATCTGTCACTCATGCTCAGATTTATGCTAATTGCCTTTGTTATTATTATTTATATGTTACACGAATCATTGTTAATCAGTTTACTCCTAGGCTTTGGATTGTTCGGGTGCAGTTTTTGGATTTCCAGAATTCACCCTACCGACCCAAGTTTATAATTAAGTGCTATTCCATCGTTAGCATTTTTATGTTTTATTGTTGCCGGAAAGTTTGACACCTACATTCCCCGGTGATAATTTGGTGGAGAAATCCTAAGGGTATAACACCCGGGACTGCTGCTTATATTTTGTAGCAGTTTGATCCTGAGTACCATCAACTAAGCGAGTTCCCCCGAGACGACCTATCTTCAACAACACCATGCCAACCTGGAGAAAAGGAGTTTACCGCTCCTCCCCAACATCTAACCAGCGCCATTGTCTTTCGCGTCCTTGGATCACACCAGGACCAGCACGAATTTTCTCGACACCAGGATCCTTTCCACGGTGCTATAGGTGCGGGAAATCCTACTTCCACGGCCACCTTTTCACGTGTCCAGCTACACGTTCCGAGTGTTTCGTGTGCGGAAAACTTGGTCATTATGCGCAAGTATGTTTTTCTTCTGCAACAACACCTTACCGTTCCTCCCAAAGGAAATCATTTCCACTGGCGTCCATCGATCACTCAACGATCAAAAAGGATCAAGCCAAGGGGTCAGGACGAGCCTACTTGAAGACAAACCTGGGAAACCCGTCTGTAGGATCGTCTGACAACAATTAAGTCAGCAACAACATGCGATTCTACTGCAGGTGTGTGTTTTTCTCGGACTGCTACCAAATCTAGTCAGATGAGTGTTGCTGTTGCGGAGAGGCAAAGGAAGAGCATACTTTGCCTGCAGACTAAGTCCGTAAGCAAACAGCGAAGGGATTAAAAAAGAATAAAGAATTATTACGATAGGTTGCAGTTAGTAAAATCTTTACCATTCCAAGACCTAAGTTCAGAAGATATTTGCAATTTATTCAAATCAACAGGCCATACCACCCAACTAACTGCGTTACAGAATGAAAACAAGACCTTAAAGACAAAGATAAGTGAACTAATAACGAAATGTGAAAATCTCCAAACAGTGACATCCGCCCTCCATAATCGAATATCAACACTGCAAAGCAATCAAAAACCAACGAACAATGGAAATGGGAAATTCAACTCAGCTGAGCGTGTTACTAAAAGACATCCTTTTCTTCCGCTACCAACAGCAACCAAGAGTTACTGGTACCAACAACCCAGTGCTGTGCATTTCAGTTCCGGATATTCCTGAGACGAGGACGTCTCATTTTCCGAAGCGAGAGGGAAATATCACGTTGTGATTTTTTATAAAAACAATTTTAGTAGCATATGTTTTAGCTGACTTTAAAATATACTCTTAATTTACTGTAATTATTTTAAACAACTTGAAAAACTTTAATTATGCATGCTAATTACTATGTAACTCCGAATCTGGAAATTAATTATTTAATCAATTTACTCAACATGTCATGAGTTATTCCATCTAAGCCTTCTGTCACTCATGCTCAGATTTGTGCGAATTGCCTTTGTTATATTTTATTATTTATATGTTACACGAATCATTGTTAATCAGTTAACTCCTAGGCTTTGGATTGTTCGGGTGCAATTTTTGGATTTCCAGAATTCACCCTACCGACCTAAGTTTATAATCAAGTGCTATTCCATCGTTAGCATTTTTATGTTTTATTGTTGCCGGAAAGTTTGACACCTACATTCCCCTGTGATATATCATATAAAACATTTCTACAACTTTTAATACATATGTTTGCCTTTACAAAATTTAGGATTTGTGGCCAAAATTTGGCGCGCATTGAAGTCGTTCTTCTTTTTCTCTTCAGTTATAGATAAGTTGAAAAGGAAACCTGTATGGAGACTTGTGATGTAATCGGTAAGTTTTATTAAGTGCTATTTCTTAAGCATCTTTATCTATTACAAAACACTTTAATGTAATGTGTAGTATTGCTCCTTCAATCAGATTAAAAACCATCAAAACAGATTAAGTATAAATTACAAAACCAGAGTATATAATTCTCTAGATGCTACATTCATTTTGAACACTGTAACGCATTAGCCTTCAATTTTCCGTTTCCGCAATTAATCATCTAACGCGTTTAATGCGAATTACTCACTGAAGAGCTTATATGATTTAGCAAAAGAACAACGGGGAGTGGATGTGTTCACTTCATACAAGTAGAGCTTGAGATTTCAAAAAACTTCACCCTTCCTTGTTTATCTTGACACTAATATATTAAGTTTTTCTTTCAGTTCCCAACCAATGAAACCGGAAGGAACAATAAGTTTCCTCTTCCTATCTCCCTGTGTCTGTCTGTCTGTCTGTCTCTGTCATGCATGTATTTGGTTTTGCGTACTTTTTTTTTTTACATGCTTGCAGGTATTGAGCTGATTTTTGTCTATACCTTGATGAGTTACAACTAGATCAATTTTGATTTCTCGTTCAGCTTCTTCTGTCTTAAACATAATAACTGTCATTTTAATTTAAAAGGAGAACTATAAATTACAACCACTAGTAGAGAACGCTTGTTGATAACGGATCTCTTAAATCTGTATTTTTATTATCCCGTATATACTTTATATATATTATGTTTATACTATATGTCCCCCAATAACTTTGCCGATATATAGAACACTATAGAAAATAAAGCTACTATATACATGTGTCCCCTCAATAATAACGTCTGATGATCTTTTTTCTTGCTTTTGTTTGGAAGTTGAAAGTATTGAAAATGTATGGTTGTGCCCCCCCCCCCACAACAACTGAATGTAATTCCTACGGGCCTGGTACAATCTGTTGGCATAGAACGATTTATGGGTGTGATTGGCGGGAAATCTAATATTTTTGAGAATTTATATTATATGAATTGACAATTTTTTTCCCATTACACTATGATCTTTTTTATACTAGTAGTGAAATTTTATACCAAACTCCTTATGGTCTAAGGAAGACCTCTATTTTTTTTTAAGTCAAATGGTCAAAGGTTAAGGTTTTAAATTCATACATTCTTTATATATGTTATACTTTCATTACCGGGCGATATCTCAATTAGCTTTTGAGTACTGTAATTAAATTACAGCCGCCCTTCTGAACCCCCCCCCCCTTCAACCCCTGATCCACGCATGCTCTTAAATTTTTTTTTCAAATAATGCGGTGGACACCGATTTTCTAAATACGTTTGTACTTATTGCCTTAAAGTGTTTCCTTGTGTAGATATGAAACTGAGTTCTTAAGATACTGTTCCTTGCTAATCATATTATCCATGCACTATGGCTAATTTATGCCCCATTGTTATTTACTAGCAATGTAATTATATAATTTTTTAAAGAATCAAATCTTCATGAAATTCATCCTTTTAATTTTAGTATTGGTAAGATTTGGGACAAATTTATTACAAGTATTAGTATTAATTATTTTGCCTGAAAATCCGCTGTCTCGATGACCTTAAACGTTTATTACAAGTACATACATGTAGCTACTAAAGAAGGTGCGTATGGCTGGATATATAATGAGAAACAATTAGCAATTAGCATGATTAGAAGCAATCCCTTCACATTTCGTTCACTTATAAATTGTGTGTAAAATCTTGAAAAGAAATGACAAAAAATATTTAATTCTGTAGAAAGGTTTTTAAAGCATAAATTTTCTTTATGAGATCGATCAGCATTTTAAAAATATATAGATATATTTCCTTACCCTGTAAAGCACAGACAATCCAAAAGATGAAAAAATACCCCATAGTCATCCTTATTGCACTGCAAGTTATAACAAACAAAATAAGCTTTACACTGTAGTGTCTGACTCGATCAAAGGCGACAAAGTTTCGTCTTCCGGGGTGGGGACTAAAAAGTTCACACTTTTAAATTTGAACAAACATACTAGTTTTTGCCTGTAGTTGTAATCCCGGCGTGTGATGGGGAGGCCTCTTTGTTACACGGCCAGCCTCTTTGTGAAGGTCACTTTCCTCCGCCGCGACTTCCTGTGGATTCATGGTCATTTCCTATCTAGATTCGGATGTATTTATCTTTCGCCACAGCTTACACATAATTAAAGTCAAGATATGATGGAAACCATGAAACCTTGTGACGAATTAACAAATCAACAACAGATTTAAGCTTCTGAATTGACGGCCCTGAAGATTTTCAAACTTCACTCACTGTTACTGACATGACAGATTGATGCATCAGAATTCTAGAAATTTTGCCTGCCAGTTTATTTTTTTTTTTGCATTTTTTTCCTGGTCGTAATACTGGATAAAGATAGCTCAATTGTCTTAATATAGTTTTAAGTCTAAAAATTCGATTAGGAATAAAATAATTTAAGACTCAAATGCATTTTACGTGTATATTGACCAGAGATTAAGAATCAATCAAATATATAATATCTGGTATTGTATAATTTCGAAAATGTACTTTTAATTTTATCATGGTGGTAGTGAACTGTCTTCCTGGTCAAGTTAATCGGACGTTCTCGGGCTCATTAGCCTAATTAAATCTCTGTCGATTATGTGTGAGGTCTTTCTGGAATGCAATTTTATTACACAATCAAAAGATTGTTTTTTTTTTCAATAAAATGTAGAAGATTCATTTTTGCTAAAGCGGACGAAAGAAATTGACGTTTAGTCACATCACACTTGTACTAGTATATGATATAAATAACTGCATTTCACCCTCATTCTCAAATCTTGTCAATCGTGTAGTGTAGGGCGGCGATGTCATTTGGGCACCATTTTTGATTAATAGTTGTTCATGTTGTCAGACAGTGAGACATAAAGAACTATTTATCAACAGAGGGCTATTCATTTTGATAAAATTCTTCGACCAATATTTAATCTTGATCATTGCTAAGAAAAAAAAACCCCTAATACTTAAAGAAGATTGCACTATTTATGATGGTTGTAGCCCCTTTCCCTCATGCCCTGGAGGACCATGAAATTTATAATTTTTGTACCCCTTCGATGCTGCAAGCTAAAAACTGGTTCAGTGGTTCAAGCAAAGAAGCTGAAAATGTTCAAATGTTATAATGACCGACGCACGAGGGACGACGACGGACAAAAGCGGATGGCAATAGGTCACCTGAGTGAAACAGGTGTTCTAATAAAACTGAAATTCTAGGGGGTGCCTGGACCCCCCCCCCCCCTTCATCACCCTCTCCTGGATTCTCCTATATGCGAATGAAGTTGATAACTAATTAATCTCTTGCAAAGGTTTGAAACCATATCAGGCAGGTAGAAAAGGAGAAATAATATTAGAAACTAACCATAATTTGAATAAATAAAGATTAAAAGTTGAGCTTTTTTACCGATATGTGGAATGACTCGTACTTCGATTATAAATGACAAAAGTTCAATCGAAGATGTTGGATCCGCCCTGCTTTTGGTAGCAAAAGTTTGTTTGGTTTCCCTACAAAAAAAAAGATGGAAAAAATACATTTAAATTTCGATAGTGAAATTGACAAAACTAAGAAATATTTTTGTTTGATTCAAATTTCGAAAAAATTGACCCCCTCCCAATGAATCCATCGTTATATCTATCTAAAAAAATGTTTATTTTCAAGAGCTGGCCGAATTATCAGAAAGGCAGCTTTGGTTATTTCCCCCCAAATTTGCAATGCAAAACTTTCCTAGGTACAGGTATATAGTAGGTTGTATATCATTCCGGACCTGATAAATATATAAGATATCAGTGGGTTATATTTTATATAGGCAAAAAGGCTGTAGCCTATAGCCTTCAAATCATTTTCTCAGGAATAAAGATTTGGTTGAATAAAGGGGCATTTTGTTAAATTTGTTAATACAAACCGTACCTATTAATTTATTTTGTTGCAAATGCCAAAAAAGCATTATTAGCAATCTACACTTTTATACCTATCCGATTTTGTTTACAGTTTTGCTTTATATATTGAAGGAGGGGAATTATACATAGGCAGTGCCTGCTATCCGATCCTATTATGTTCATTCATAACAAAATATTGTCTAAATTAAAAAATTGTATTGAAGGACAAGACTATTCCCATAACTGGAAATTTTTTAGCCAAAGTTCAAGTGTTATAATATTAAGTCTGTATCAAAAATTTCATCGAAAGCAACAGGAGTCCTTAATAAGTGCAGGAAACGCAATTGATAACTTGAATTAGAATTAGATTTAGTAGGAAATTCAATGTATTGATCAAATTCTGAGTATTCACTCAGTAAGGAAGTTTCCATATTTTCTAAGCAGAGTAAAAGAATAAGTTAAGAGTTCTCAGATTTGTTCAGCGGTCTTCACATTACGATATGAACTGTAAATACGTCTTCATATTATTTTCACTAGTCAAATTAAAATTGTAGATGTCTGAGTTTGCAAAAATGCTCCCTTAGAACCCCCTCCCTACCCAGCGTGAGGAAGTTCCTTGTCTACCCACACTTTGCATGTCAGCTTAAATCTGTGACTTGACACTACCCCCTATACCTATCAAGAGGAAGCTCCTTGTCTACCCACATTTTGCACCTCAGCTTAAATCTGTGACTTTACACTATACAATGTATACTACACATTAGCAGAAAGGAATGTAGGCCACTGGATATACACACCCACAGAAGCTTGTCGGCTTGTTGGATAGATGGAACGCCATCACTGCCTTATAGCATAAAACTATGCATTCATTATGTCAATCTATTATTACGTGATGTGAACATATCTTTACGTTATGTCAATTTTTTATGGGGTGTTGTAAAAATATCTTGACATCATGTCAATGCTGCATTACATGAAGTGAACACATTCTTCCATTATGTCAGCACTTTATAACTTGAAGTCCAAAGTTCATTATGTGAAGTGAAAAATTAATATGTTTACATTGTGTTAAAACTTTATTACTTGAAATGAATGTATCTTTATATTATTTCATTTCTTTAATATGCGAGGTCAAAATTGCATTACGTCAAGTAAATTTCGTTTTACATGTGTTCTATGATTAAATTTATCATTACGTTAAGTCAGAGTTCATTCCCTTTTGTGAGTGTATATTTCTATAATAACTAAGCATTATTACGTGATGTAAATGTCTCTTTATTTTACGCCGAGGTCATCACAATGTTAGGTGAAAACATCTTACCTTTATGTCAGTGCTTTATTAGTGATGTAAAAAGGTTTATAACGTAATGTGAACATATATTATGGAGACAGTCCCGGCGTTCCATATTATATCAACACTTTATTACATTATGTCAAAACTCCATTCCGTGATGTGGATATATAATTACGTTATGTCAAATCTTTCTTATATGATTTAAGAATATCTTTATATTGTGTTAACTCTTTATCACGTTGACTCAAATGTTCATTACGTGCTGTACAATACATTTACATTATGTCAAAGTTGACAACCGTGTTTTCACGACGGGGAAGGGGGGGGGTGTTCTGATTAATTAGGACGAATTAGAGACACATTATATAAAGGGGGGGGGGTCTGGCTTCCTCTTTTTTTCCAACATAACATTATCAAAGAAAATGTTCATTGAAGGGGTCTGAAATTCCGCCCCACTTTTTGCTGAAGTATAAGGGAATTTTTTTCAGGACTGATCGAAGTTGGACCTCCCCCCTTTCACCCAAATAGGATTTTTGAGTTTGGACATTATTTTTTTCCTGGCCGACAAACCTCCCCCAACTTTCAAAAACGATGCAACGTCACTGGAACTAGTCATTTTTCAACCATTCCAGGTCCAAAATTCTGTTACAAAATTCTACCAGTCCCTCACTGGTTCTTGAAAAGAGTAGCTATAGAGGGACGGTATGGTGTCTAAGATGGGGACCAGGGGGTGAAAGCCTGGAAGCTCTCAGGCTTTAGTGTTTTTTTTATATAAAACGTTTCAACTTATTTCAGTTATACTTTTTGTGAAACTAATGCAATGTCCTACAAAGTAAAACCAATTGATTAATTTCATGCATATTTTGGTCACTAAAGATGGGGGGCGGGATCCCCCTCTCCCCACCCACCCACCAGTGCACGTATGAAATACGATGTGTTTACACTTAAAAAAAAAATAAAAAGGAGGGTTAAAGACTGATAAAAAGCTTAGGACAGTGTTTTGTAGTTAGATCAGAAGTTTCGGACTTTTCAAAATAAAATGAAAAAAAATGCTGCATTACACATACTATTTGATTTGCGATAATTATGAGATTAAACGGCCATTGAATTTCGACGTTAAAAAAAAAACAATCGTCAATAAAGATTCCACGGGAACATGATCCTATTTATAAATTTTAACCTGATATTTAATAAAGGAATTACTAAGTCTTGTGTATAATTTAATATTTGATATTTTTAATTTAAATTTATTGCATGTTGAAAACACAAAACGAACTTTTAGGCATAACCTTAACCTTACGTCACACAATAAAGAGTTGAAATATTCTAAGATATACTGACAAGAGGCTAACCATTTTAGACACAATGTAAATATATATCGTACAATGGCATAACATAATAATGATTTGTCAAAAAGTTAGGAAAAATTGACATCATGTAATAGATTCCCGTCGTCCTGTAGCATATTGATGACACAATGTAGTAAAGAATTGGCCACATGTGACAATTTGTTCAGATCATGTAATGAAATTCTTACATCGTGTTATATCGACTTGATATTGAATTAAAGATATATTCACATCATGTAATGAACTACTTAGACCAAATAGTAGAGAGTGCACATAATGTAATAATGAGTTGAAAATATATAAAAACATCTTTACACCACGTAAAATTGTTTTGACTTAATGTCATAAAGAGCTGATATAATGCAATGGAAGCTTGGCGCAAT